GGGCCCGGCAAGGACGCCCCAAGGGCGGCCGCGGTCCCCGGGGAAGGAGACCCGCCGCGGCCATGGCCTCCTCCAGACCCCTCTCCCGCTTCTGGGAGTGGGGCAGGAACATCGTCTGCGTGGGGCGCAACTACGCCGAGCACGCCAAGGAGATGGGGAGCGCGCCGCCCCGGGAGCCCCTCTTCTTCCTCAAGCCCTCCTCGGCCTACGTGCGCGAAGGCTCGCCCATCCTCCGGCCCTACTACTGCAACAACCTGCACCACGAAGTGGAGCTGGGGGTGGTGATCGGGAAGAGAGCCCAGGCCGTGTCCCAGGAGGCTGCCATGGAGCACGTGGCGGGCTATGCCCTGTGCTTGGACATGACGGCCAGGGACACCCAGGAGGAGTGCAAGAAGAAGGGTCTGCCCTGGACCTTGGCCAAGGGCTTCAGTTCGTCATGCCCGGTCAGTGACTTTGTGCCCAAGGAGAAGATCCCAGACCCTCACAAGCTGAAGATCTGGCTCAGGGTGAATGGAAAGCTGAGGCAGGAGGGGGAGACCTCCTCGATGATCTTCTCCATCCCTTACCTGATCAGCTACATCAGCGAAATATTCACCCTGGAAGAAGGGGACTTGATTCTGACGGGGTCTCCCAAAGGAGTTGGGTCAGTGCAGGTCAACGATGAGATAGAGGCTGGGATAAGCGACGTCCTCTCCATGCGGTTTAAGGTGGCACAGCAAATGCGTGGATCCTAACTGGGAGCTGGGCTGGGACCCTGCCTGCGTAGGAAGAGGCTCTTTTGGGAACATCTGGTGAACAAAGAGACATACAAGCCGTCCTGTACGTTAAACACTTACATAGCCCAAGCGTCTAATGGACTGTCACGCATCAAAGACATGTAACCCATGAGCTCGAAAGGCATTTGACTAAAACAGCCCCGTTTCCACGGAGGCTTCAGCCTCCTCTGAGGCTGTGAACCTGGAGTCCAACCCAGCTCGGGGCAGATGGTTGATACCCAAACCATACCTCGGAACTGTTGGTGGAGACAGCGTGCCCGACAGCTGGGGAGGGGAGCTGGGACGGCTGTCACTGCGTGTGCTCTTCTGTTCTGCTGATGCTTTGAGCTTTGCCGATGTATTGCCTTAAAATAAAAATTATAAATTAAACCATTAAAATGGTGATGTAGGCGCTGAAGCTCACCTATGCTATGTAAAATCAAAGGTGTATGTGTAACAGTAAATCCAGAATTACAGCTTCAGAAAGAATTTGTCTCCTTGGGGTATTCTACAATAAAAAGATGTTTGCTTTTTAGATTAGTTTCACGATTCCTCCGTGCATTTTTCGACTGTACAAATTAAATGAGGGTTGCTTTCCCTCCCACTCCAAGGGGTGTAATGCAGCAGGAAGCGTGCCAGATGCTTGGCGGATATTTTTTCCTAAACTGAGATTTAAATATGCTTCTAAAAGTAAAATAATACAAAAGATCAAGAATAAAGAAGCTCCTTGGTAAAGATCACCAGCAAACTTGTCTTTACTTTTACTGATTCAAATATATTTTTAATAAAAATCTAACTGCAACAATTACCATTACTTACACAACACAGTGCGACAGTTGGAGTTTTTAAATATTTCCAGCTGTTAAAAAGCCATGCTGTGTAACTTTTCCTGTTTCCAAACTCCAACTGATCTAACACACTCTACCAGTTTGCATGACAGCGAGTTCTCTTTCAATTCAACGGAGTGAAAAAGTTGTAAAATATAATTAAAACCCTCCCCCCGCAAACATCAAAACTTACCATTTTCAAAGGTTGCACAGAACTGACTAATTTCTAACAAAAACAGATGGATTATTTTTTCACATACGTGCAAGCACCAAAGTTAAATGCTTCCATTTATTGGAGCCAGATCTTAATAACCACTTTGTTTCTAAAAGTGCATTTGGAGAGGCTTGCAGAGAAAATTACTGCAGCCCGAAGACAAGCACCTCTGTGAAAGAGCAGCACGGTCCAGGATACTGCAAATCACATGGCAAAAAGAAAGCAGAACGTGTTGCAGAAGAAAACCAGGAATTTGTCCATCAACTTGCTTCTCCAGCTGCACATCTGCATCTGTAGCACGCCAGCGCGTACCCGTACACCACCTGCACTGGGTACGGACCCTGCAAACGTGCACGCAGTTCACCGTATTTTGACTTAAGCCAGTGGCTTAAAGCACATGTAAAAAGTTCTTTGTATGATGAGGCCCAAGGACATAATTCAGATTTCATCTAAAGGAAGCCTAAGGAACCGAGGCCAACTGAAACATTCAGCCATTACATCTGAACAGGACCAGCCCCTCGCTCATAGAAGTCAAAACGCCCCTTGGTTTAAGCCTGTCTCCGTCCGCGGGGAAGCTGAGCTCTGAATTCGTTGCAGCTCGAGGAGCTGGGCCACGCAGAGATGTCAGGGCAACGGAGCTGGGCTGCGCAGGGAAGTTAGGGTGAATAATTCGGAAAGAGGAAGGGTTAAATTCACTTTCTGTACTCTTTCCATTTCTTCGTGCCTGTCAAACATTACTGCCTATGGCAACAGCGACAATGCATCATTAGTAGTTTGGCCTTGAGCACTGTGTATTGATTGCTGAGCCGAGTTGTGATTAAAATTAATGGAAACATTCACTTCAATGTTTTCCAGCCATAACAGCTAATACTCTGAAGTTGTTTATTGCTGCAACAGGAGAGACGCAGTGACCCAACACTGGCAACATTTTTTTGTGCATTTAGTCCCTTGTTCCCGCTCACATGAGTAGGGGGATGAAATCTGGGAGTATTGCTTGTCAAAATTCACTGTTTCTGTAGTTGTTTTCTCTCTGCCACGTTGCTTTAACAGGTAGGTAGTGAACCAGGGGTGATGGGAGTTCCTCAAGGCGTTCTAGCCTAACAAACACTTTTCAAGAGAAGGGCCGCAGCGTCTTCCCACCATTTGAAATAGGCCGACTCCCGATACGCTCAGAAGGTGAGGGCTGGTGAATGTAGCAAATACACCAGCTGCAGGGGAAGCTAAGGACAGAAATAGATTAAAAAATAGGAAAAAATACATGGAGAAGGGCAAAACGTACATCCCTAGGTTCTTTATGTTCAGCTAACAACAACTATCTTGGTGAAGAAGAGTCCGTCCTTCTCTGCCACTTAGTCTTAGCTCAACTGTTCGGTTGTCAGAGGTCCCTGGTAATTGATTACTCTGCTCTAATAAGACTTAGTCTGCCCTAAAGAGAAGCAGCCTTGCAAACGTCGTGGCCATTTCCAAGCCCCTGCAGTTGCCAGAAGTTCCGTGTTTGGACTCACCAACATACACCACAAACCCAGGCAGTATTTCAAAGCGGGTCTTTATTTTTTGAACTAACACAAAAGTAGCACGGAAGTAGCAAGGCAGTTAAACACAGAAGCTCAACAGATCTGTCTTGTACTATTTGTTATTTCTGATTTTTTAAAATATATTCTAAACTGAGTGAAGAAGGCTTCCATCCCCCTTGTAAGGGGGGAAGAACTGACTTTTCTTAAGCTGAGGCCCTAGTACGCTTTTTAAAGTACAACCACCTGAAAAAGATCAACACAGAAGCCCACTTACAGGGATTAGTAATGCATATCCCTTCTTTACCATCAGAACATACTTAGCAAAATATGACGACGACAGCATTCTACCTCTATTAATACAGTGAAGGAAATAGTCTTTTTCCTAGCTGTTATCAAGCCATATAGTGTAATCTCTTATTTCCAACCTCTTTTCCCAACAAGCCCTGGCTGGCCTCTATAGGGTCTGCCAGTTTGCATGAAAGAACATTCACTTTCAGTCCGGTTCTCCAACTGGGTGACAAAGTAACCTGTAAAAATAATTAAGGGTCTTTGTTTTTACTGCTGTATAGCACTTTGAAATATATTATTTTCAAATATCACACAGCATGTTTAATTGACAGATTTGGTTATACATATTTTATATTATTTTATACATGAGTACACACATTTTATGCTATATACTTGCCACTACTGAAGTAAAACACTTTCATTTTTTCCTGGAAATAGAGGCAGAGGGTGGGGGAGGTGGGAGAGTAAGAACAGTTTTGCTAAGAAGGGCAAGTTTAAAAATGGGAGTCAGTTTAGAGTTGTCCTAGAACAGGCAGTTCTATGAGAAAGGAATCCAGTCCAGTGTAGAGCATGCAACTAAAAAAGTAAAGAATATTGCAAGCAATAGCCGATCTTTTAGCAATTGCTTCAGGTGTGTGAATCTAATGTTGTTGCTTTAAGGACAATTGCAGATTTTAGACATACCTAATCACATTATTTCCAAAAATACAGGTAACTAAGAAGTATACTTAGGTAACCCCGTATACCATACAATCTATTACAGATACTGACTGGGCCTTATTCTTGCAAACTGATAGTGTTAACTTTATTCATTATAAACGTACAGCCATAGAAGTCAGTGACTAAATCACCTATACATGCTTTTGAAATATCAGCTCCTTAATCGGTATTGGCTGAGAGCAGTTTGTGTCTTTCATAGTTTGCCTGAAGGAGGCCCGTATAGCTGATCCTGCAGGTACATCCCCTAATGTTGAAATTATGACAAAGACTATTTACTTGGAATATTCAGAATATGTACAAAAACTAATCCTTATTTTAAAAAGTTCAGCAGAACTGACATGAAATTTTTCAGTACTAAACATACCGAATGGGAAACAGCCAGTTTTAAATTAACATTAAATACTAACTTTAAAATAAATCTTGCTTCGTTCCAAAAGAAGTTGCCATTTCAATGCAGTCTTCTTGTCTTCTGTTAGAGTAAGGAACTCATGGACCTGTTAATAACAGGACATAACAGAACACTTCTTCAGCATGTGGTTATAACAACATCTCCACAACAAAATGATGATGATAAGAGCATCTTCTGCATTTTTTTTGTGCATTTCTAAGGTGTATTTTCCCTCTTTTAACATAGTGTTTGGTGTAATATATGTATCAAGACAGTCAGATTAATCAGAATAAATTGCAGGGTGCTTGAGAATCAAAATTAGGGAATTCCAACCATGTTCTCAGAAAAGTGTAAATTAATTAAAATAGAGCCGTATTCTGAATAGGGTATTCACTCTTACATTTAACATGTTTCTTCTTACTAGCAGCTACTGACTTCTAACTTTTGACTTGTTAAAAAGCCAAGTGTGTGTGTATGTGTATATCCACATGCAATTTTTTTAACCAGTGTACACACGCACACACACACATATATATGAAGAACATTTACATATATTTGTAATTTTCATCAGGCTTCACAGCTCGGATCAAATAAGAACAACCTAATTCATTTCTACTTACTGTGCAGCCTAATGTTTCCTCAGCTACACAGTCAGACAGGTAACAAGAACAAAGAGTGCCTGTGTGATCTGTCAGATCAACGAGTATGTCAAAGCTTGCAAAAGTTGGCTTTGAATCTGAAGGGGTGTCACTGCAGAAAGTGCATGTGTTTGACATTTCATTCACCAGAAAACGGCATGTTGAACTGTAACATAAGAAGATAATTAATGTATATATGCAATTCCTCCTTGTTTGAAACTGTTTTCTAGACTGAGATTTCCCAAGAGACTTTTCCTCTTTAAAAAAAAAAATCTTCATCTTCCAAACTCTTAAGTCTGTCTGAGACAAAATGGCCTCTTTCTTCTTCGCTCCTCTGGGACCAGAAAGAGCAAGTCCTTCATAAAGGCAACTCCTCTTCCTTGCTACTTCTGGAAGTCTACACAACAGAAATTCACATGGTGTCCTCCAGAGGAGTTTTAGTTCTTGTCCAGAACTGGACTAAAATATTGTTCCATCTAATTTGGGTCAGGGGAAGAAGGATAAGTACTTTTAAATACAAATTTAAAACAGGCAGTTGCTTACCATCTGTTGCGAATAAATTTAGATGCATTATCATCAATGTCCAGTGTAGAAATGTAGCCATAAATAATGCCGTAGACTGGTTCAAGTTTCCCATCACTCTGTAAAGCTTTTTCTTTCAGCTGTTCCACAGTATAAACGTCAACTATAGTCTCCACTAAAAGTTTAAAAGACATGTTAAGTGCGTCTGAGAAAGAAACAACACAGAAAAGCAACAACAAAAAAGGATCTTAAGGTGATAAAAAGGAGAGGATTTGATCTACAGCACCAGAAAAGCCCCACACACCTTCCTTTTGAAGCAGGCTTATCATTTGGGGGGCAAAAAATAAAACAAGAGGGGAGTCAAATGAGGAAGATATCTAATATTTAATCTTTGTACCCCCCAAAACAAGTTTTTGACAAAAGCTTTCCCTCTCCATTTTTCATACTTATTCATGACAGAAAGAACATGCCAGGCAGGCTGCAAGTTGGCATAGTCACCAGCCCCGAAGATACATAACTGATATTATAAGGGATGGCCCCAGTAACAAGACTCCAGACTTTAAGTATACAGCCAAGCTATACCTTAGTTTTGTTTCTATGGACACAGAGAGCAAGAACTTGAAATTTCAACTGCACTGTGAAACTACACTATATAGTTAAATAAAATCAAAGAGTTTGGATCCATGCTTACAGTTAATGGAGTCTTTTGACTGCTCCTCCATTTTATCATGCAAAGCTCCTGATTGTGCACATTCTTTTATGAAGCTGAAGAGAACACTTGCTTCTGCTGTTTCTTGAAAATGTATTTTTAGAAGTTATTAATATATGTAGCATGTAAAAATAACAACATAATTATATTTTACAACTTTTTATTCTGGTAGCACCAACACGTTGTCTCTTGGAATTAGCCAAGAGATGCTTTTCTCTTTTTTACTTTAACTGTTAGTCCTACATGGAATATATGAAGGCTGCTTGGATAAAATAAAAAAAAATAAAATTAAATTAAAAAAAAGATAAAAGGGTGGAAGGCAAAAGCATTGGTCCCTACATAACAGACAAGAAGCAGGGAGCTTTCTGAGGCAAGCGGGTGGAAGGAAGCATTGGTCCCTACATAACAGACAAGAAGCAGGGAGCTTTCTGAGGCAAGCAGGCAGAAGAAATCAGACGTCCAATAGATTCACTCATGCATTCTAGTCTATAATGATTACTAAGGCCAAAGCAATACTTCAACAGCAGCTCTTACCTGGGTTAGTCGTAATGATGGTTTTTGATATCACAGTTGCAGTCATACAGTTCCTAAATTTGTCAAAATTTATTCTCACATCTGATGCAAATATTACTGTGCACAAAAAAAAATCTGTTACTGTAGAATAAGTATCATGTTAAGAACTACAGTAAAAACATAAACCCCAGACTATTATACCTGTTTCTCGTGGGATCCAACTCTGTGCAAGCTGGATAGATTCATTATCCCAACTAAATTAAAAAAAGTTAATGTATCAAAACATTTTTGAAACAGCACTCAAACAGTTTAGTACTAAATTACTAAATAATATAATTAAATTGGTCAAAGGGGACACAACTCCTTTGTTACATGCACATGCAAATGAAATGCCACGTATATCCACAGGCATCTAGTTTGCAGCCAGCCAGGATGCTTTATGTACGATCTAATACAGTCCCTATTTTATCCCATGCCAAACAGGATAAAATAAAGGGCTATTAGATAGTTCAAAATGATACAATGCAGAATATACCTGGAAAAATACTGTGTGTATTTCAGAGCTTTGACAAAAGTAATTTCTAACTAAAGCAAATCACAGTTTAAAATAACTGCTTCTCAGCTGAGCCTTTTCTGTGGGAACGAGTTGATTGCTCACATCACTAGGCCAGATGTTCGGCCGGCTTTCCAATACTGGAATCCTTCTAAGTGTGGATGATGAGACTAGGTATCCCTCAAAAATTATAATCTTGTTCCGTTCCTCGTAAGTTTGGATGGCAAGAATACTGCCAAAGCCCCGTTTTGTTCTGGTGGTTTTTTTTCTTAATCCTTGGAAAAAGATTTAAGATATTTACTTTTCATCTAGCATTGCTCAGCCACCTCTCCACTGATGGCCTCTGAAATATCTTCACTACAATGCTGTTGCTCAAGGATTTCCTGAACCTTTGCCTCTACCTACGGCTCCATGCAAGTGCAAAAGGCACCGTTTAGGGTAACCACAGTAGCACCACTAGTCTCTGCTTCTGAGGAGTCCTGAAGTATACAGCTCTGTATCACTACGTACCAGCACTGAAACAAGAGTATCGGAGCTGCCGCTGCAAAGTAGCATTGGTGGCAGCTCAAGGGCTAGAAAACTTCACATCATAGATGCTTATTAGTGTTTGTGTGTATATATTATCTGTGTTAAACATTACACTAAATGATAATACAGTTTCCAACTCAGACACGGAGTGCAATGCTATCTTGCTACTTCTATCTAGGGAACAAAGGTCATTTCAACCAACGGACAGCAAACCCAGTGCAAATACCCACGTACCCTTGCACGTAGATAAGCCACGAGTTTACTGAACAAACTATGGGCAAAATGCAAAAGTTCCTGTGTAAACAAATCCCTATTTACATGCATAAATGGTATGGACGTAGTCATGTTTGTAAATGGGACACAGTTTGAAAATATGGCCAAAGTAGTATCAAAATGTTTCTGTGCTATTTTAAACGTTTAAAAACTATTTCAACCTATTTCCATTCCACTTGTTAATTCTGCTCGGCTTTAAAAATGAAGCATGCTCCTCTTCCCCCCCCCCCAGTTTGTGGAAGAAATGTACTGCCTTTGCAGCTGTTTTTTAAATGCCATTTCCTGAATTAGTTCAAATTTCCACATTAAAAAATGTAACTATTTGGAACTAAGCTTCATTTTGCCATTCATGAGCTAGCAGTCTGTCAGCAAGTCATAAAACTAGATGATATGTGTAAGGTCACTCTAATGAATCTCTTTTTTTAAGACTGTTCAGTGTACATTGCTGCCTCATCACAGTTGCCACCCAAATAACAACACAGTTAAATTAAAAGACAGTGCTATAACGGTATGTATTATAGTTAATTTCTTTACCTACTCTTGCATTAATTTGTGTATTTCAGTGAATTAAAAAACTTTTTACCATACTATTGGAAAAGACATCTCTGTTTCATCATACAGCTTTACTTCACACCTCTGACCTTTTCTTTTGTCTGAAGTCATAAAATACTTTGGCTCCCCAACCTTTAAGAAGAAAGAGAAGCAGTCACTTTCCCTCTACTAAGTGTTTAGGAGTATAAAAGTGATAACCTAGAAAATAAAAGAGTTAAAAAAGGGGAAAAAAAACCCTGTAGACCACTAAAAAAACCCAACCCATGTACACCACTAAAAGTTTAACAACAGTAATTTTACTTCAAGATAAAGGGACACATTTTATTTTATAAAAATCTGCGGTTTACAAATTTCAAGTTATCTACTGCTTGCACATGCATGATTTCAAAAAGACAACCGATGTAGGTCATTTCCATTCCCTTAATGTCCCCCCTCAAGTTGTTGATAAAAGTCTCATCAAGTAGCTTGTATGGTTATCGTAACTCAGCTGAAGTGACTGCCAACCTAAACAAACAAACAAACATAACCAGTGATTCCTGTCCGCTATGAGTCCCAAAATCCATATTCGCACTTAAGTCAATTAAGTTACCCACAGTACCGTAGAGAAACACTACCCTGTCGCGGCTCCTTAACTTACTGACATTACAGCTGCAAGCACATTAAGGATTCTTCCATCGAGGCTTTGTCCATTTGCAATGATATCACCCAGTGAATAATAGTCCTGAGGGTCCTTGACAGGCAGATGCAACAGAGAAAGTAGTTTGGTGTCCATTTCATAGCATGAAGACGTTTTGACCACTGAATGATTTTCACTGAGCAATAATTTGTAGCAACTAGATAGCATGCACAAAACAAAACACATCGATCAACATTTCACTCACCAATATATTAACAGTGTAAAATGTTAATTCAATTCACGTGAGAAAATAACTGCTGATTTATTCCTTTATTGTTTTCCCTAAAGATATGGAAAAGTTGGAATTATTTTGTTCTAAAATTATTTTTAAAAAATTATATACTTTTCTCTTACGGAAGACTTATTATTGTGTACTTTATACTTATTTAGAATTGAAAAGCCAGCACGGATTGCTAGCAATGCACAATACATATTTGTAAGACTTTCAGCCCTTATCAATCACTAAAAATAAAATAAATTCTGAAATGTCTGTAATCCAGGTAATTGAGAGGTTTTGGCATCGTGACATAATAAGACACTACTGCAGTCAGACTGGCTTTGGTAAGGTGCTTTCAAAAGTAATAGCCCAGTGACCTCAGTAATATTAATAATGCACTGCTAGCCAGTGGAAATAAGATATATTCAATATATTCTGTATAAATATATTTTACAAATGCTTATGAAATCTATAGATTTAGAGAGGAGCTTTTTTCTTCAGTGAAGTTTCTACCTGACATTTATTCTTTTACTTCTTTCTGCTTAGCCAGAAAGTGAGTGTAACTACTACAGCTATACATTTCCTACAAAGCTTAGAGATGATCAGTAAGCAAGAACATAAAACTTCTAACTTGCCAATTTAATGTGCATATATGCAATATTCTTATGACTGCCATATGATTAAAAATATTAGAATATGACAGATTAGGGAAGAAACCCTAGTTAAAGAACCTGTCTATTAGTCTATCTAACATCTACATCTTAGATATCTAAGATAAGTTAAAACATATCTGAATTACAGCTTGCAATGTTAGTTGCATACACCGGTTCAAATTGTTCCAATTTTAGAGAATACACTGAAAGACAACATATATACATTGCATGATACAAAAGGAATGACGATGCCTTACCAAATAAGCAACAAATAGCATCACAGTGTATTAAAATACCTTCGAGGTAAACATGTCACGTGAATGGATTTTGGTAAGGATATACTGTCTATAAACCAGTTATGTCTGATAAAACACTTTGGCAAAATCAAATCAATTTCAAATAATTTTAGTAGACTTTACCCAAAGAATGAAATTTACTCTGTTTGGTTACAAAGAGCATTGTTACTTCATGACAAAACTCCAAAGACCACACACTGAGAAATATATTCTTTTTTGAGATTGTTTGACCATACGTGGTTGAACACAGGGAGGAAGGTACAGCTGCATGAGAAGACTAACCCCAAATACTTCCACCAAGTGCATGCTGCTGCAATTGGCTGGCAGCTAAAGCAAGCGTTAACTTTGATATTTCTAGAAAGAACTACGAGTCTATGCTTTAAATTTACCTAGGAGTTACAGGGTTGAATTTTTCTTCCCTCTCTGCTTCCTTTGACTGAACTAAAGGATTTTCAATTGTAACTAAAATAAAACATTGATAAGTAATGTTAGAAAACTGAATATAGATACATGTAAAGAGAAGTGGCTTTTAAAAATGGTTGCTTTCAAGGTTGATATGGAAAGGAAAAGATACGTGCAGTAACTACTGCTAAATGTTTTCATACGGAACACCGTATCTGTCCAGACAGCTCACATTATAGCCAAAGTCCCACAGGAGTCCTCAAGGCATTTAATGGAAACAAAATGGCACTGAGTTCTCGTGTGTATACTCTTCATAGTCCCAAATTTTATCCAAACACTCTGATCTAGCAATCATGGGCAGCAAAGTCTTTCTATTAACTTAACAAGATAAAAGCACAGCCTGTAAATAAATACAAGATTTTTGTTGTGTTTTTACGAACAGTCATAGTCATATCTATAACTAAATGAAGACAAACGCCGAACTACTTTACAGAGTTTATTTTTCGTAATTTATAAGAACTGAATATAATGGAAGAATTTAGATCAATTAACTATAGATAAGTTCTGGGTGGCTGTATTCAGTGGATTTGTATCTAGTCTTTTTGTTGACATATTTACTGGTTTTGAATTTAAATCCTTGAAATCTTATTCCTTTCTTCTTTATACTTAACATAACTGAACAATTTGTTTCCAATTAGACTGTTTTCTGAGTCCTCAGAGAAAAACATAGCAAAACCACAAACACATAACACTGATTTACTAGGAAAAAAACACATTCAAACAGAAACATGTTAAGAATAAACTCCAACTTACCACAGTCACCAACTCTAAAACTCTCTGAAAGTGATCTAATATAGTCTTCTCTGCCCCAAGAATTTACATTTATAAAATAAGTTGGTGAATCACGAATAGTAAAACTGAAGGTGTATCGTTCGGACCCAATGTCTGTAAAAATAAACAGCACTATCACAATTCATTAGCACAGCTTGATTTCAATCTAGAATATATGTATAAAAACTATTATTTCCAGGCTTTCCTAGATTTTGTCATGAATTTACTACCCGCAATCTGGGGAGTACCACTAGAGGTCAGCAGACTGTTCAGTAAACTCACTGGTGTTGGTGAATGAGGATGGCTCCAGCTCATGCCGTAGTTGTACCTGTACCATCCCATCCACGTACACGTATCACTTAACTTTAGCCAGCACCATATAAACTTAGAGATCTAATGCAAGAGAAATAAAAGCACCGCACGATGCTACATTCAAGGCATGGACAAACACATAAACAGGGCTAACACATGAAGCAACGCTATGAACAAGCATATGTACTAGCCCAAATTTGGTAGTAGGTTGTCTTTAGATGTCTGTGCCCATGTACGAGACCACCGCAATGACACACAAGGCTGCAGACCACAGGCAGTATCACTGTCCAGATAGTACCAAGGGGTTTAACTGAATAAAGTGAAGCGTTTCCAGCTCTATGGAAAGTTCACGGTCAAGAGGGTATCAGTCTCTGAAACACCACACTCTCTTTTCTCTTACAGCTAATTAACAAAGCTTTCCATGGATCATACAGCATTACACAACATGTTATTTTTAAATTATCAATGAAAACTGAATAGTGATCTGCATAGAGTAAGCATGATCTGACTGTAGTTCCATGGAGGCGTAAATATGAACACCACATTTTCAGACTATGTAGAATTGCTTCTGGTGATGACGATGACTTCCTTCTAAAAATTCACCACGAGAGCAGTTCAGCATGATGACAATGCCACAGAATAGCTGGGCCCTTCACACAGCGCTGGAGTGGCTCTCTAGGACTGGAGGTGCTTCCTAACAGTGTCTGTATCAACCCTAAGCTGTAGATATGCTATTTCAATTTCCAACTAATGCTGTATTAACAACGTATCATTCCCATTTTTTCTTTAGGAGTATACGATAAGATGAAGCTGGTGCTACTCAGACCAGCAATTACTTGTGTCACTCCTCAAGACATCTCCTTAATGTTTCTGTTTTAAGAGAGAACGAATATGAAGGGACCAGATCAATTCCAGCAGTATTTATGTAATAGTGAGTTCATATTGGTACCGTCTTCTTCAGACCCTGAAACACTTCCATAACGGAGTTTTTCCAAACAAATTCTAATTGATAAGGTTTAGCCAAACTAATGCTGCTCTTTCATCTTGGTTCTCAAACACACAGCATTTTTTTTTTGCGCATTTTTATTCTATACATTTTACACTAAGAAGTCTGTTTATCATTTAAATATTGATTTCAGTCATATATGCCAAATTATACCGTATAAGAAAATGAAGTAAAAACAGTTAAAAGGGACTGTACTTTTTCTGTCTGGAAAGCCTCTGACATCTGTTTTCCCAATAACCACACCGATTACATTCTAAAAAATAAAAAGATTATGGAATACAAGTATTAAACACAGATGTATATGATGAATTAGATTTCATGGACTTGTACTCTACTGATGATGATAAACATATTTCTGACTGGTAATCATTTTAATCTATTTATTCCACAGTACCATATGAACTAAAGACTAAAACATAAACATACAATTTTGCTTTAAGAAAAAGAGTGACTAATAAAAATATTAAAAGAAATACATCTGTTTCTGTTTGTAAAGACAATGGGAGGACAAAAGTTCACCCGAAGCATTCACGATTTTGGCTGTTCTACAGCAATCTCTCCTCAGGTAGGCAGCAATATTGTTGTTTTACGCTCTTTGCACAGGTCTCAGATCTCCTTAAATGCACCGTGAAAAGTCTGGACAGGATTTATTTTACAGTTAAGCGTCCAAGGTTTCCCCTGCTGTCAACACCAAGATACACACGTGTACATCCACAGGGAGGGCTATTCATCCTATCCTCATCTAAGGAACATAAATTTGTACAGGTGCCTCTTTCTTGCTGTCTGTCTCTCAGCCGACTACAAAGGGAGGTTAGGCAATGAACTTTTTTGATGATTCAAAATGAAATCAATCTTATTCTGCTTTGCTAAACCTTTATTTATTATGCAAAAGCACCTCAGTCTCAATTGTCAAACAAAACTACTAGGAGCAAACACACACAGGAAGAAAGATATAAATATAAAATATATATATTAATAATATAGAGCTGTTTGGTGTCTTTTTTTTTTTAAAAAAAAAGGTCCTCTTCAGTGTGAGAGAAGAGTATTGCAGTGCTAGTTTGGGATTTAAGAGGTACGCGATGAAAGCTGGTATGGTAACAAGGACTGGAAGGAGAGACTGACATCGCAATACCGCAAGGGTCCTTCAAAACATGAAGCGTGCCACATCTCTCCCACTTCACCCGTGCACTCACTTGCAGTGCTGCCTGCCTTTCTCGTTCCAGCAGGGAACCCCAGCAGTCAGCTAGCAAGGGGCAGTGTAGCAATTTAATAATCCACACAGGCTGAATTTTGCACCTATTCACAAAGCAGTGCAACCTGGCTGACTTCGCTGTAACAATATTGACACGTGCTCAAAAATTAGATCTCATGTTCCCAGTTTACTTTGAATCACTAGATGGAGCAAGGTAACTGCCTTATCCTACAGTGATGGAAACGAACTCATTAAGAGGACGTATGTGTACAACAGTGTAATATCCTAGTTCTTCCAATCTTTCTAACAGAATACTTTCTATCTGTCCACAACATGTAGTGATTTAGATTAGGATTTCATTTTTCTATTTTTGGTTTTGTTTCTTTAAAAAAAACCCAAAAAACATTTCAATTAAATCAGAGCGCAACATACCCTGTATCTCACCACCAGTCAAAAGAACTGACATTTAGGATGACTCTTCACATGAATTAAGCTGATGTAAATCTGCAGTTTCCAAAAGAGATCCCCCCTGTCCCTGCTGCAAATATATTCACCTCTCTCGTATGAGCACTAAGCCTGCACAGCAAGCTGGCAGGAGAAAGCGATCTGGCTGGAAACTGTTTTTGGGGGGGGAAGGGTAGAAAAACTTCCAGAGAACATTTCCTTGATCAGTTTATTGTGCAACTACACAAGCACTAATTTCACCAAAAGGGGAGGAGCGGAACACGCCTGCAACGAGGAAGCGGGCCATACTGCCTTTTTTGGCAGAGCATTGCTTAAGGCCGCTTAACCAAATCATGAGGCTCCAGCATTAACATATTGCAAGTTTCTTAGACTTTGATCTATTTCACTTTTAAAAAATAAACTGCAACGTAAGAAAATATGACTTTGAATGGTGTGTGCTCAACTGTTTTAAAGTCCTAAGCACATACTGATCGTTCTATCACGAGATACTTGTGAATTACTTTTTTGTAACAATACTTTCTTTACTATATGTTGCTAATTGCAATATTGAAGATTAGTTTTATTTGTAAAATAAAAGGTTTTAATGGAGTTAGTGGATCACTGTATTTGGGAGTAACTGTGAATGACAGATTAAATTAGCTTTGCTGGAGACCAGGAGTTTATAAAAAGTTTGAAAGAATATGCAATACTGCTGTGAGGGCATATAGAACTCCCTGTCCTAGTTCACCCCTTTTCTGTGATTTCTTTCATTTGTTTAAAATAAATGAGAAAAAGGGGCTAAATTGTGCCCCTCCCAAATAAAAAGCTGTGGGAACAGGAGAACTCCTTGTTTTCACTCTCTTCACAAACATCAGTACTTCCACAGTGCATACAGCCCTGTAGACATGCATCTCCTTTACGCTGCATGGAGAGGTACGGCTGTAACACCGCACCACAGCCCGCGGTGCATCCATGTGGAAACGCTGCCTCTCTGTTTTGTTCCCCAGGCTCCAACTCCCAGCAGCACTGAACACTTAGAAGACACATTATCACTGGTGGGCTACACAGTGAAGGGTGGGAAATACAGAGAATAATGTAGCCTTCTCCCTCCCATATTAAAACATAATCTTGGAGAGCAAAGAATGAAAAACTGTGGGCCCCCCCCCAACTTCCTATTTTTTATTCAACCATCTAAAACCCAAAAGAGAAAAATACTGAGTTTTACAGCACACTCCCCTGTTCAGCTCTTACTCCAGTGATGATGGTCCTCACTCATATCAGGGCAACAAAAAAAAAAAGTTCATACTCAGACATCTGTATGAATCTACCAACTACAAATCTTTGCTGTTCGTTAAGTTTACTTTTTGGTTCATCCTGCTCTCCTGTACTCCCACAAGCAAAATTCTTAGCTCCTCAAACTGACAATTGCAAAACCTGCTTTTTGTTCTAAAGAAACAGAAACAATCCTGTCTGACATGTAATTGTGAGAGTTTTATCCAGTTAAAACACCATACCATTCAACAAGAGTTTTGTTTGAATAATTCAGGACTATGTTATTTAGCTCAGAGGGATTGAGCACACGAGTAAAGGCTGCAGGATTGGGCCTTACGTTCATAGCTTGTAGTGAAAGACTATTGTAGGTTACAGATGTATTGTGACTACATAATGCTGACTCTGTACATGTCTTTACTAATTCAGCATCCATTTAAAACATTACAAAGAAGCCTCTGATACTTTCAGACATTGAATTGTCCAGTCAATATCTATAGTTGTGGTATCTGGATACTATGGACAACAGCAGCATCAATTTTCATTTTGCTGGTTTATACACAAAGAAGGTAAGGTAATTTTTATCTAACAATTATACTAATGCTATTAGTATCTAAATACACGTCAATTACATAATTTTGCAGTAATATAATACAGTCATATACAATTTCATTTGAGAACAAAAGTACTATGTCTATGAGACTTACAGGACGAGCAAGATTTGGATGCAGATCTGAAAGTGCGACAAAGTCCCGTGTTGAACTAGAATAAGCCATTCTTTATCTGTAACTTGAGAAAACTAATTTAGATTTTTTAAAAATCTAAACAAATCACTTAAAACTATTCATAGTGAGAATAACAAGTTATTTTTTAACACAAATGTTTTGACCTAAATAGCACTTGTCTTCAATAAAAAGCATTTCAAGCCATCTGAAGTAGACAATTCTTTATTGTTTGTATTTGGTGATGTAAGTTATGAATTTTACTATAACTACTCTACCTATACTTCTCAAATAAAGGTCTGTAATTTTTATTTATTTATTTATTCTATTTATTCAGCATTAAATGACTCCATTAGCACCAGCCTCTGAGAAATATTTACCCTCCTTCTCCTGTCTGGGAAGTCCAACTGAATTTAATGAGGCAGTTCATATATAAAAGGCCATTTACATGGGAGGAAAGAAAAGTGTTGGGTTGCAGACCACCTTAATTGATGTTTATGGACTTAATATTAAACTACTTCAAAATGTGAGTTTATTCCTTCCTCAAAGTAGAAAAGTTTTGAATTTATTAAAATTTTTAAAAATCAGTTATTTTCAGGCTGCCAACATAGCATTACTGCCCATTCCTGTGAGCTACTGCGCGCTCAAGTCCTCTCTATTGATGCCAAAGTCGGGCCACGGGCACTTTGTTAGCCCATCTGAATGCCTCTTATTATTTCATGGGTACCCTCAAAGACATTATTGATATTTAGCAAATAGTTGTCAGATTCTACTTTTTTTGCAAAAGGAACCATCAACTTGTCCAAATCTTGGTAACCTTTAACATGAGAGAACTGCTGGCATTTTTCAGAGGAAAAACTTTATAACAAAAGTCTTGAATCGCTTTCACAGTCTTTATACCTGGCACCTTGTGTGAGAATTGTTAACAATTTCATTGGGCATTAGTGTAACGATCTGTTGAACATACTAGAAAAGAAACAGACAGCCTACACTTTAAAAAAAGTAGTTATCTGAGAACAAAGCAATTTCTTTAAAAGAGCATTTCAAACTAAGCTCTCACAGAAAGATATCCCAAACTTGCCTTACAAAAAACTACCGAACAATGGGGCCCTCAAACCTATTCCCATCCCATTATATGGAAGAATTCATGTTCACTTACGTAGGAAAGTCACCTCCAAGGCATGTTAATATTATTGCCTCAGAAGAAGTTAAATATTGTTAAATGACATACCTCACACCACAACTGAATCAGGTTAAAGAAAACAGCACCGGGAACACATGTATCAAAGGAAGATTGGAGGGGCAATGTAGGATTTAAAATGCTACAGGCCCTGACAGGGGAAGCTGCAGCGTGCAATTGCACCCCTCACTTACCCCCTCGGAGGCAGGGGCTGAGCTCCCGAGGACAGCTGAGGGAAGTTTTTCTCACCACCACCCAGGATCAGACCTTCTTCTGAGAGAAAGGACACGATGGAAATCACAATAAATAAAAGTATGAAGCCTTTGGCACCACCACCCCATCCCAAACCGGTGTCTGGCGCCAGACGAGCTTGCACCCCCAAAGCCAGGCTGGGCTCTAAACGGCAAAGAGATTTTTCTTGCATGGGCCCATCATCAGCCTCATTTCTTTCCCTGCCCAAGCCCGAGCGACGCATGGCAGCCGTCCCACGCAGGCAGGGACAGCGTCAGCTTGGAGGCTGGGCAGGCAGGAGTCCTTCCCACAGCCCCACCTACTGCCAAGGGGCCTCAGGGGAGACACAGACCAGCCAGGATGGGAAGGGAGCGCCCTGAAAGGAAGGCATGAGGTGCTCAGGACAGGGAGACAAAATGGCGGCTAGCGCCGCGGGCGGGAAAAGGGCTTCGCGCCCTCTCGCTGCGTGCCACCTTCCTTCAAGGGCCGGCGCAGGTGTGAGGGGGAGCGGTGTGAGGGCGGCCAGGGCTCCATGCAGCAGGCACCGGCCACGGCCCTGAGGCTCAGAGGACGGTTACCAAAAAAAAAAAAAATACTCACCAGAAATTCACGGTCCTGGGGCTTTCACATACCTGAGCAAGGGTGCTCGGCCCAGAGGGACCGGCCCAGAGCCCAGCACCGTCAGCTTCAGCTTCAGTCAGCGACCTCCGCGTCAGGTCCAGAGCTGAGGGTTCAGAGCTTGGGTTTCACTTTCTTTTGTGAGTCCTCTGATCTGCGAGGCTTTATCCGCGTCCCCCACCATTACTGCTCCCTCTGGGGCAGCAGCTTCATCCCAGCATACACCAGGTTTCCCTGGTAGAATGTTAATTTGAACCACCTGATTGCATCTTTTGCTTGCTGTTCTAACAAAAATATTGTATTTTCTTGCAGTGCTACTCCACAGCAGGCCCTGGAAGACTTTTTCCTAACCAAATGCATTCAGCAGGATCGCTAGCGGGTCTCAAGTCCCTGGCCTTAACAAAGCCGACGAAGCACCAGCCCAGGAGTCTGAAGTCAGGCTTATTCTGCTACGCTTATAAATGCACAACACACCAGCAAGACAAAGCAAATTTCAGAAAGCTTTGGAGGAACCATTCCCTAGTTCTTTATTTTTTTTTGTGGTAGCTCTAAGGAAAAAAAATTGCAGCCTGTATTTTATAAATGAATTAAAATTTATGGTTTAAGATATTATTTGTATTGATTTGCACACAGAACTCCTGGGTTTTCAGGCCCTGCAGAAGACTGGGGTGAGCCATTTTGTCCATTTATATTGCATATAAAATTATTTTTTATAAAATCAATACTCTTCACTTCTGTATCATAAAAAATTTTACTCTTGATGAGTAATTTTATGACCTCAAGGTCATGGCTATTGAAGTTTTTAGTGTAGCCTGACAAATTCTCTGTGTTGACTCTGTATTACAGGATCTTTCATTTCTTCAATTAAACAGCTGAAAATGGATACCACCTGTGCTCTCATATTTATTGTGTCACTAAAGTCCATGATAATTACACTGTGCTGATGACAAACGGCATGCCAGAGAACTGACAGCCTGGGTGTTTTGGGGTTTTTTTTAGGTCACCTTTTATACAGTATGATCTATGGATCTAATTTTGTTCCATAGGTTTGAAGTCTCCAGTAACCAGAATGAGGTAATTTTTTTGTTAGTTCTGTTGTTTTAATTATCTCAAGCTAATGAACAAGCAGAAGATAACAAACGTGGCAATGGGATCCTAATCGAATGGGAAGGAGAACTTGTACACTAGCTGGAAAATGCTGGCAAAGGTATAGTTCTCATTCTTACCACCATGACTGCAAGGTAAACCAGGAAAAAAAAAACCCTGAAATGAGATCTGCGGGGTCTCCACCGCTGCAGAGGGTGATAAAAGCAGGATCACAGACCGTGGGCTTGCAGGTGTTGAGCTTGTCTAGTATCTCAGCAAGGTTTTGGTGGGACATAAGCACCTGCTTAAATGGAGCCTTGCTGAACCAAGCTGGGATCCTGCGCTGCTGCCCAGCACGGTCACCACTTTCATTAGGCTTTGTCCAGGTTGAGCTGCTTTTCTCCCACAGGCACAAAGGCCAGGTGAAACCCGACGCTGCCGGCGTCCCCAGCCCAGGGCCGCAGGCATTGTTTGGTTTCAAAGCCACCAGAACAAGGATGCTGTTGTGCACCGCTCCTCGGCGTCCCTGTAGCCTCAGCAGACGTCTAATGATCGGGTGGTTTTGCTTTGTGGTTTAGTCCCGCTCCCATTTGCAATCTGCCTACATTTTGAAAAAAAAAAAGCAGCTTTTTACTTTCCCATGATAGCTCCTGCTAGGAAGATGTTATCAGGGCCATCATGAAGGGATGCACCTATCTGGCCATAGGCACAAAGGCAATGGACATGAGACCAGAGTTATTTCCCTGGAAGATGTGATTAGATGCTGAATTTCTAACTTGCAGATGCTGAGGCAAGAATTTGTTTGATTGACATACCTGTCTCACAGTGATGCTGTGGCTTCTGCCATTTGTACAGCACATGGCACAACGGGGGACGGTCAGCAATTTGGATTCCTGTAGGTTACTGTAAACAAATAACTTCTTTATTGGGGCTTATAATACACAAATATCTACCCTGAATGTCTTCCGCTAATTTACAATGTCAACTGATTCTCCAAGTTAGGAATTTTTAATACAAACACTGAAGAGAGCCTACAAAAACAAAAGTCACTCAACTTGTACTCAGATTTACTGAAGCTTTCCTCCTCAATTGACCTCAAAGTGGTCTCTAAAAGAAATCAGCATTATCATCTCCCTTTGACAGCTGGAAAAACAGAAGCAAGAGAAAGACCAGAAGCAGTTTCCTGAGGGCCATGCACCACACGAGGACCTGTTCCCCCCTCCAGTACTAGCACCAGCCCCTGCAAGAGTGCGGCAATATGAAATCAGTATTTTTCTGATTTAGTGCTTGATTCCTGAAAGGTCTGAGTGATTTTAACTCTCCAGCACTTCAGCGGCACTTAGCACTCTGCCAGATTCAATCTGTGATTAGCAGAGCCTTCCCATACATGGCTGCAAATTGCACGGTCCCTGCTAAATTAGGCCTTCACGAATGGATTTATTTAAATTACACTCATTGGCATGGTCAAGGAGTGCAAATGCCATTTCATAATTCACTTAGCAGTTTGTTATGTGACGATCAGTACCGTTTGCATGCAGGGGAAGCTAGTCCCCGTCCAGCAATAGCAGGGACATCTCAGAAATTATCTTCAAAGCTAGAGCAATATAAAAATATTTGCTCTCTGAGTTTTACGCTGCCCACAGCGTTTACTGAATGGGCTCATTGAATATTTATACATTCTTAGGACCAAAAGAATCTGTAAAATGAAAAGGGCAGACCTGTAATTTTATGTAATTGGCCTAACTGAATACATTAACAGCCGCAAATTATTAAAGGTATTCACTGTTCAGCGGCTTTGGCTGATACCTGAACTGGCTGAGAATCGGGAGTGCTGATGGAGTAATGACGGACATCTTTAGCAGCAGTAGTGCAGGTGCCGATGCAGCCAACAGGTGCTCAGTGTGTTGAGGGATATTTAGTCTAAATTTCTCCCCATCAC